CAGCACCAAGACTACAGTTAATGATGACATTGTGTATCCTTAAATTGTTCTGAGTGGATACTGAGTGTTTGCCCACAAAAATTATAGCTATGTGAGATAATATGTATGTTCTTTTTCTAGATTTAACAGTTTAATAATGTATAACACTTTCAAGCATTATGTTGTGTGTTTTTAACCATGAATTTTACATGAGAGTTTAAAAAATAATCAAAGTTTATCCCCTTCCTATTTGTAAATGGTCCACCTCCTAGGTTCCTATTGCCTTAGCAATGTTCCACACTGCTGGGTCACAATGCCTGATATCCGCAGCTTAAGCCAGAAAGGTTTATTTTGTCTCTCCGTTTGCAAATGTTTCAGTCCAGTCAGGTGGGTCCAAGACAGAACCAACATGGTGGAAAGACCTGGGCAGAGAAAAGCAGGGAGAGCTCAAGGGAGGAAACTGAAAGGAAGACCCTTTCAGGTCCTGCTCACAGTGATCCCACCTCTTCCAAGCGGAGCTAAGAGCAAGTCAGCCACGCTGCCTCCATAATCTAATCAGATTTCAAAAGCCCCACCTTTGAGCTCATGAAGCTTAGGGGGACATCCAGATATACACCACAACTACTGGCGTCTACCTTTTATTTATTTATTTATTTTTAATTTTATTGAGTTTATTGGTACATTTTAGGGATACAGTACAGTTACATTCATTGTTGGGATCATGTACCTTTACATGGCAAGTCTTCATTCTCGTTTTTTCCCCTTACCTATGCCCTCCCTTCACCTCCTCCTCCCCTCCCCATCTACAAACACTTTATTTTCATCTTTTCATTCTCTCACATTTTTTTTCTTTCTACCTTTTATTTTACTCTAATGGATTTACAGAGATGGAGGAAGAGGGAGGGAAGGATGTGGAGATAAAAAATAAAATGTGTTGTGTACCTGTACCAACTTCCCATGATGAGTGTAATCACCTACTGCAAACATGTAGTAACGAAAATAAGTTTTTAAAAAATTAAAAAATAGAGTTGAAAAATAAAAAAAGATAAGCCTCTATTCTTCATAACAGTGTGGGTACTAAGTGATCCATAAAACCTCCAAAAATTTGAAGGCCATTTATCACAGTAGATTGTTCTGGGATTGCTTCACTGATGAAATCACACGTGATTTACAGTAAGCTTTGTGATTTTGAAATCAAAGAATATTATCATTAAGGAATAAAACGATCTACTTGAAGGCAATAGACATCTCACTCTGTTGTACCTGTATAGTTGCAAAATTAAAAAAAAAATTCCATCCGTACTCTTCTGTGTACCCCAGGGGAGATGAATTTTTCGAGAGTGGAGAGACAATGGAATGACCTACTTAATTAGGAGCTCTGACAATTCAAACCCTGACGTGCTAGAAACTAGAAACTCAACATGTGCCCCTCCCATGTCATTCTCCCATCTGTCTCCATGAAAACATAAAGAGGCTGCCTAGGCACAGGTCATGGAGGAGGAAAACCACTGCAGACCATCATGAGTGCTGTTGAGGCCAGATGGTGCAAAGAGAAAGAAGAGAGAAGGTGGGCATTCCTTTTAGCCTGTGAGGGTGCACCTTTGTACTGTGAAGGAAATTTAATTCCCAGTCACACTCATCATTTTCAGCCGTTTGGCTTCCTTTTCTCCTTCTGGACCCTAGAGTCTTTCCAGTAAGTTATTTTCTGGAGCATCTTCAACTTTCAATTTGCTCTTATAAGATGTGCCCTTCTGTTAGATTTACTTCACATAATTACTCATAAACAGACCAGTAACAACCTTTTATGCATGAGGTGTGTTCTATTGCATTTCAGGTTGCGGTTTTTCTGTTTTATCCTCTATTTTCACAGGCAGATTCCACTTCCTCAGAGCCTGATTCATTGCACATTACGGGGGCTGTCATTTCATCTTACTGTTCAAAATAGCATACAAATAATGTAATTGTTCGTGATGTTCAATAATCATTCCAGTTTCCTTTTACCATATTACTGATTCCTTTATATATTGAGGAAAATATTGAATGATTATAGTTACAGAGATTGTCTTGGAATTTTCATGAAACGGACACAAATATTTTGTTTTCGTGGAACATTTCCTGTAGCTTCAGTTTTGAGAAAAACTGTTGTCTCTTGAGTTAGCAAAAATGTCTCTGGTTTCTTTGTTTACTCACAGTGTTCACCCTGGATTCTAACCACAGAAATGCCTGTTAAATTTACTGAAACATAATTGAATACTGTAAATATAGTAGGGACTTTTATTCATTGATCTATGTAGCGATGAATTATATTAACCTATTAACCAGCATCCTTGTATTAAAGAAGCTTCCATTCCTAGAATTATTACTCTTCACTCATTATTTCTTACTCCCTTAAAATAGTTATGGCTGGATTTTACTTAACTGTGCTATTCAGTTTTGGATTCGTGTTCAGGCTGTGATCAGCTTGAGGATTTATTGTTGCATTATGGCAGACTTTTTTGGTTGGATAGCTAGTATACATTAAACCTATATACTTATCCAGGCTCCACAATGTAACAGATTCCATCCAAGTCCCTGGCAAGATAGAATTGATCTAACAGTCATAACCTCAGTGCCACAGATAACAGAATATTTCCCTCCTATATGAACCTCAGTTTCTGATAGGGAAACCACAACTTCTGTTCCCACTGCTAGACTATTTCTTTCCTCTTCTCCTCTGATTGGCAGTGACTCATCCCTCCTCTCTGAGCTTAAAATTTCCTCCTTTAGGGAAGACTGTTCTGTCCACCATAGTAGAATATATGTGCTCAAGTGTGTGTTCCATCTTGAATTTAATTAACAATCTCTAGGCAGTCATAATACTAACACTTTATGTGAGGCTGAATATAAAAGTTCATTGAAAATATTTATTTCACATCTTAATATTTACAAGGTAGTGTTAGTTGTGTAATTTGGGGGTACTTTTTCAAGTCAATCAATATATATTTTAGTCATTACAGCTTCTGATGTAACACAGTACATCCTGACTCCAGGGCATGGACACAAAAGCACAATTTTTATTTTATTCATTTGATTTTGATGGGTTCATTTTCTCTCTTCCTTTCATCCATGTAATCCCAATGGATTTTTTTTTCTAATTTTACATTCCTGGGGAGGTATTCTGTGAAAGAAAAAGCCATACCTATCGTTACTCATGGGAAAAGATATACAACAGCCAAAAAAGGGGTGAGAAGACCAATGTGGTTATCTGGATCAGAATCCCACCTATGAAAACAGCTGTAGGGTAAGGGAGTATTGGTAACTGAGCGTCACCCAAACCTCTTCTTTGAGAGGAACAGAAGTTGATATTTAGGAATGGACCATCTGATCACAGAAACTAAAGAAGAGCAGTTACAACAACACATTCACTTTTTTCTTTAGTTCTAGCACGAAGTGAAAATTTATCACGCCTACTATAGAGGAGAGGCATTTGTAGCTGAGAGAGTTTACTTTTTTTCTGAAGACCAAACAGTTGCTATGATGTTTCTGCATTCAGATTCAGGAACTCTTGCTCAGAAACTGAATTTTTACACCGCATCCCTATATTCTGGATTTCCCCAAAATTGAGACTTAACTGGAAAGTAATCAGTCTTGAAAACTTGAGATAAAAGATAATAGTCTCAATCACTCTTCATTACCAGCATTAGGGTGCAGCCACTGAGCAAGTGAATAGTGAGGTTTAATATTCCTGCCCCTGGGCATTGCTACACAAACCACGAGAGTTCATTTTTTGGGGTAGGTGTTGTCTTCTAGGAAATACTGTTCAGTTGTACCTTGGGAGAGACCTATACCCAAAGCATTTATGATGAAAAGGAGAAAAAATAGTGTAACAAGTTTCAATGACAATGTGACAAGCTTTAATAAGTAATAATAATGTGACAAGTAGTTTTCATCACCGTAGCTTATTGAGACTATGACCTTAAACAGAGTCAGTTTTGAACACTGCAATGTTTCAGTAGTAGCTGCATTTTTAGAAAGAAAAAAAGTAAGGCACTGTAAGTTGAGCTGCAGCATTAGTTTAAGTGCTACCTCATACAATAAAGGTTGCTTAAAGGTGTTAAAATACCTTGATATTGACTACAGGAGAGGTGTTAAAATAAAGAAGTGTGGAGGTTATTAGAGAATACATGTAAATGTTTTCAAATTTTCTGGAAAGGTGATGGCAAACAAACATTTGTAATTCATTCACAAATTCAAATGAATGAGAAAACTGAACCAACTGAATCAGTGCTATAAAAAGCACAGCCTGTAACAGCTAAAACTTGGAAACAGCCCATTTGCCTATCAGTTGGAAACTGGATAAAGAAGATGTGGTTTTTCTATAAAGTGGAATACTACTCAGCCATAAAGAATGAGAAATTAGATTCATTCATAGGAAAGTGGATACATATTGAGGATATACTCCTAAGTGAAATAAACAAGTCACACATGTGTAAATACTGAATAGTTTCTCTGGTGTGAAAAACTATAATAGTACATAAGATCCTAATGAGATAAATGACAGTGTGAAATAGGAAGAAAACTTCTAAAGGTATAGGGAAAGTGGAAAGGGTAGGGGAAAGCTAATAATGGAAAAGAAAAAAATATGAGAAAATGAAAAAATGGAAATAAAGTGTGTGTAAAGGGGGAGGGGAGGAGGGAGTGAAGGGAGGGCAGGGACAAGGGGAAAAATGAGAACCAAGACTTGGCATGTAAAGGTACAAGATCCCAATGATGAATGTAACTGTACTGTATACCTAAAATTTACCAGTAAACTCAATTTTAAAAAAAGCATAAATTTCAGGTACATTATAGAAAGTATAAATGATTACATGAATTTAAAAATGAAATGAGCTACAGCTTGGCTGTGGGAACCACTCTCACTGGCTCAGAAGAGGGTGAAGGGGGTTCATCCAGAGGTGACTGTGAGTGGTGTCTGCCTGTCTTTCAGGTTCTATTCACTGAATGTTGCTATTTCATCCTTCTTTGGATGACAAACCAGTGACATGGAAGGAGAAAACCACACACATGCAGCACAGTTCCTTCTGATGGGCCTCTCAGAGGACCCAGCCCTGCAGCCCGTCCTCTTCGGACTGTTCCTATCCATGTACCTGGTCGCCGTGCTTGGGAACCTGCTCATCATCCTGGCCGTCAGCTCTGACTCCCACCTCCACACCCCCATGTACTTCTTCCTCTCAAACCTGTCCTTTGTGGACATCTGTTTCACCTCCACCACGGTCCCAAAGATGCTGGTGAACATCCAGGCACAAAATAAAGATATCACCTATACAGAGTGCCTCACTCAGGTGTACTTTTTTATGATTTTTGTGGGGATGGATAATTTCCTGCTGACAGTGATGGCCTATGACCGCTTTGTGGCCATCTGCCATCCCCTGAACTACATGGTCATCATGACCCCTCGGCTATGTGTCCTGCTGCTTCTGGTGTCCTGGATCATTATTTTCTGTTTCTCCTTGTTTCATATTCTCCTGTTGATTCAGCTGTCCTTCTCCACTGGCACTGAAATCCCACATTTCTTCTGTGAACTGGCTCTGCTTATCAAAGTGGCCACCTTTGATATTCTTGTCAAGGTCAATATCATCATATTGTATGTGTCAAGTGTCCTGTTCATTGTGTGTCCCATCACTGGGATTCTTTTCTCTTACTCTCAGATCATGTCCTCTATAGTGAGAATGTCCTCCAAGGCAAGCAAGTATAAAGCATTTTCTACCTGTGGGTCTCACCTCTGTGCAGTCCTCTTGTTCTATGGAACAGCACTTGGGGTTTACTTCAGTTCATCTGTGATTCATTCTTCCCATGAAAGCTCTGTTGCCTCTGTGATGTACACGGTGGTGACCCCCATGCTGAACCCCTTCATCTACAGCCTCAGGAACAGGGATGTGAAGGGGGCCCTGGGAAGACTCCTCAGCCAAGCAGCCTCTGGTCCTTAATGGTCTATTCAATTCCCAAATAAGTGTGCACTTAGGCAATGCTGTGAATTTACGCATATTAGATGCTAAATTTTCTGCTGAATATTACACGTATAACATCTTGTAGTTCCAAAGCACTGTAACTCTGTTGTTGTATAGTTTTGTATCTATTTTTCTTAACTCCTTCAGTACTTAAAATATGTTTTTCCTTATCCATGATCTATAAAGTTTTCCATTTGTTAAGTTTTCTAACGGACTTTTCTGAGATTTTCAACACAATGGAAGCACACATGTCAAGTGTTTAACTGGTCTTTTCAAAAAGTATTGTATGAATACTATGCTCTTCACCTTAATTGGCTTTATTCCTGTTTTTCTGGAAGAACTAGAATTCAAATTATCAAATTAGTGTATTTCCCATATCAAGACTATGCTTGACTCTTTATATGTGTGACTATTTAGTCTTGAAATGATTTCTTTGTGATATTTCTCAGTCCTCTAATTTGTAAAGGGAAGGGACTGAGACTGGTATGGATTCTAACCGGAATCTGACACTGAACACACATTGTTCTCTTTGCTGTCCTACGTTTTCATAATATCAATGATTAGATTTTTCAAAACAAAATCAGGATTCTACCTTTGAAGTAAGGTTTACACATTGTATTCATAATGATAGAATGCTTTGCAAATTCTGAAATGATCTTTGTGAAGGCCTTTTTCCTTGTCTCTGCTTTTCCTTCTTTCCTCATTTTCTTCTTTATTATTTCCATTGTACCTCTATTTAAACTTTTTTCTGCCCTCCTTTATTCCCTCTGTCCTCCTCCTCCTCCATTTGGACACTTTCATTGCTGTGTTTTTCATGGATGTAAAATATTGTAATGTGTATATCCGCAAGCACATGCATTCAGGAATAGCTGGACATGTGTATGAGTTCCACTTTTGTGGAATTGTGTATAGTGCTTCAATAGATATGAGTGCAAATTTATTTATTTGAAGACAGTCATATGCCAGGTGCTTCAGTCAGTGACAGACAGGCTGTGCTGTGATGGTCCTACAAAATAACAGTGAACCTTTTAGAGCTCTCAGTGTTATAAGCAGTCTGCTTTGCCATGAATGCCATAGGGTCAGCACCACTATCCTAAAAGATGTTTTGATCAGCAGTGTCCTAGTCAAATTCACTTGTGTAACCACACACTGTGACATTTACATAATGACAAAAACACCTAACAAATGTTTCTTCGGCACCTACCCTGGTTGTTAATCATCACATGACTATGCTTGCTTTTAATTATTAATGTACCTGGAAATGGAACTAATTGCTAGGTCGTAAGGTCATTTCATGTTTAATACCTGAAGAAGAACCAAATACTTTTTATATTGTAATGCATAAAGGCTCACGATGAGAAAACCATTCTTGCAAGATTTGTGTCTGCACCCCTGGGCCCCCCTGCACTTGCTGATTTATGCTCCTTCTCTGCTGGCTCATGAAAAAGACTGCAAGTCTGAAGACTCTCCTGGGTCTGATTTCCAGTGAAGCCTCAGGTTCTGTCCCTGGATTGGATATGAATATGGTATCAGATGGGATCTTCCTCATCCATGCAGGCAGGGAGGAGGAGACTCAAGTTGGAAACAACTGGACTGAATCTACCACCTGAAGTGCTGAAAGCGCAAGCGGATTACTATTATATTACCCTAGAGACTGAATGCACAGCACTCATAATCAGATAAATTGGTCAATGTCATTACAGTCACTGAGGAATTCCTAATATTAAGGTAAGAAGAGGAGAAAGTGAATGTCTTTGGTATGTTTTTGGCTCTTCCTCAACTCAGGAAAGTTCATGCGTGCTAGTGACCTCTACAACCATTGCCTGATTTTCACAGATGGGCCTGTTTTTTAATTTTATTTTTGTTGGAGTAAAATATTCACAAAAACACCATTGCAAAAATTCTAGGAAAACATTTCAGAGGAGTCAAAGTCACAGTATTATAAAATTATATCTTAAACCTTCCAAATGTTTTCATTTTGGAAATTGAAAATTTATACTGTTTTAAATTTCCCTCTTCATCATAGTGTACCAGCCAGGCAATCACAAGTCCAACAAGAGAATCATAAGACTCTGGCATCATGGATCAATCTGAGGAATTTTTTAGGGAAATAGAAGTACTGCGTGACAATAATGGTAAGGGAAAAATCAGGCATACAAGGTTAAAGGTTGCATAGTTTTTCTTGAGCGAGAAGCCCACATGTAAAAGTCAGTAAAAGAGCAAAACAAAAGAGTGATAGCAGGAAAGAGGGAGATAGATTCTTTTCTATTTTTGCAAATGCTAAGGTAAGGTGACATAAGGAGAGGGGCTTGGGAGGAAGGACAAGGGGAAGAAAAAGAATTAGGATGTGCTGTGTACATCCACCCATTCCCCATGATCAATGAAATCAATATGTACTGTAAATATAACAGCTCAATTTTTAAAGATTATAATTTATTAAATGCATGAAATGATAAATATAATATGAGCAAAGAAGTGTGTGTTCAGTTCTAGATATTGTTTCATTGTTCCTTCCAAAGTGCATTTGAATGGATACTTAAGAGTAAACTCTTAGACTACAGAGCCTCTGAGAGGACAAAATGCTTCTCTGTATCTCAGGCTACAGAAGAAGGGACTCAAAAAACAGATGAGCACATCAGTGAGGCTAGCACAGGGTTTTGGAAAGCCTTGATATATCTAAGCGAATCAGGAGTAATAATCAAGTGGTAACTATGAATACATAATACATTAATCATTAAAATAGATAGTTTACTGATGAATACAATCACAATCTCCTGTGTAAGATCAAGAGAGCCCCAGAGAGAAAAAGATGGCAGAGTAAAAGCCAGCAGGAAATTACAGCCTCTCCAGCAACGGAATTTGAGACACCTGGAAAACAGCAACTTAAGGAATAGAAAAAGCAGAGATCCAATCCTCAAGAAAGAGCAGGAAGGCTAGAGATCACATCACAGAGAAATTGAAAAGAATGTAGAAACTTGAATGAACCAGGCTCACAAAGCCCATCACGGCATAACCTCATCCACCTCATTCGTTGGATCAGGCACTGTGTGGCTTCCCTCTTTCCTCCAAAGTCGTAATGACTATGAAAGGTAAAGCAGTGGATTGAACCAGGACACGTCAGCAGCCAGGACAGAGCAACCATAGAGACTCACAGGAGGTTTCCAGAACCGCTACTGAAAGTGTCAGGGAAGAGGGATAAATGTGTTCAAACAGGTAGGTGTATTCTGAGGCAGATTAATGGCAGTGGGGCTTCTATTGCAGGCATTTTTATTTAAGCATTCACCATGTTTTATTCCTATCTTGTCCCCTTCCTTGTTTTCATTTTCTGATAATCAACCTATGAATTGAGAGTTGATGACATTATCACCAAGGAAGTTTCTAAACCAGGGTTTGAATCCCAATATTTTTACATCTAATGAATATTTTTTGTAAAGTTGTCTACTATTTTAAACATAATTTCTTGTAGTAAAATATAAATAATAACAATTGCCATTCTCAATCAGAATAAGTGCAGAGTTTAATGTCTTTTATTACATTTACAGTGCTATGGAGATTTTATCATCAGTTCCAAAAATGTTGCTTCTTTGCAAAACTGTTAATTTGTACTCATTTTAACACTCCCCATCTGTACTTGTTACTTTACATAGACCAGCTAAAGGACTCAAAGTTGTACCTTAAGGGTAAAATCAAATGTAATATGTAAAGACTGCTATGTAACTGTGGTGATACTTATTACTGACTGCTCTGTATGTTAAATTTGTTTACATCCCCCAAATCTACATGGTTTCTAAGTGCAAAACTTAGGAGAACATTTACTATATTGGCATTATGGAGTAAAACTGTTTACAATGATAGACTGTTCCTGACTTACAACTATGTGATCTTTATTGTATTATGATAGTTAGATGTACCTAAATATTACATAGTCTGTGCAGTGCCATTCTAATGAAAGATTAATTAAAAGAATCACATCACAGTGACATATGTGCACCTGTGTTTATAGCAGCACATTTTGTAATAGCCAAAACCTGGAAACAGACCATTTGCCCATCAGTTGGAGATTGGATAAAGATGTGGTTTTTCTATAAAATGGAATACTACTCAGCCATAAAGAATGAGAAATTAGAGTCATTCATAGGAAAATGGATGCATATTAAGGATATACTCCTAAGTGACATAAATAAGTCACACATGTATAAATACTGAATAGTTTCTCTGGTGTGAAAAACTATAATAGTACTCAAGATCCTAAAAGGATAATTAACAATGTGAAATAGGAAGAAAAGGGCTAAAGGTGTAGGGAAAGTGGGAAAGGTAGGGGAAGGGGAATAAGGGAAAAGAAAAAAATGTGAGAAAATGAAAAAATGGAATTAAAGTGTTTGTAAATGGGGAGGGAGGAGGGGGTGAAGGGAGGGTAGGAACAAGGGGAAAAAATGAGAACCAAGAACTGTCATGTAAAGGTACAAGATCCCAGTAATGAACGTAACTGTACTGTACACCTAGAATGTACCAATAAACTCAACAAAAAGATTGGAAAAAAGTCATTTATATAATACATTAGTAAACAAATGAATTAAACTGAGACACTTTAATTAAAAAAATTCAAATTAATAGATGCCTTATGTATGCCATTTTATTTTCTATAATTTGATAAAGGTAGCATGTTACTCATAAGTTACACTTCAATAAAATTTTAAATTCATTTTACAGATAATGAAGATAATCTAATGGCCCTGGTGTAATAATGTAATCATGAAGTTATCCCAAAATGCTTTGTTTCCTCTCTTTAGTTTTATTTTTTGTTTTCCTGGTAAAACTTTGCAAATGTTATCTATTAACTGTCTACAAGAAAGTGACTTCTAAAAGACAACCTGTATAGTAGGTTCAGATGATGTGCCCATCACCTACAGTTCAGATAGAATATGACACTGGCTTCTCACACTAGTACTCCTAATCCTGACCATGATTAATGGAAGAAATAGCTATCTCTCATCATACTACATATTTCAGTTTCCAATGTCTGGAAACTATTATAATAGGAATAAGACATACTTTTACCATTCCGGACTGATGTAACTGACCTTCTGGGTGTTGAAAAAGGCAGGCTTAGAGGGCAAACTTAAGAAAGAGTCTACAAGGAGAGCCAACACTTTGTCCCTTGCTAGTTGGTCAGTCAAATCCCAAGATACAACATCCCTTGGAATAGAAGCTGCAACTCTGGTGAGTCACTGGAAACCCAACAAAAGGGATGGTTGAACCATAGAGTACACGGGTTTTGTGTACATGTTTTGTGAAACAGAGTCACTAGATGGGATTTTTACCATGCTTTGTAAGAAATCCATACGGTCTAACAAGACAATAACCCATCTTGGCCAATGACACAACTGGTAGAACAAAACAACTAGAGGATCTAAGTCACTGCACATGGCCCTAAAGAGTAACCCCTCAAGACCTTTAACTGACCTTCCTTCACAGATGTGTGGAAATACATTAACTTTGCTTGATAGTGTCTTTGAATTGGTGTAAACACCCCACAGCAAAGTAGAACTGAAAATATGGAACAATGGCTTTATGAAATCAGAGAAAGCTAGGCTATAATTAAAAAGAAGCTCTAAGCACTGCAACAGCCACTACTGGCAGTCTCTAGCTGAACTCATAACAGCTTAAGCTACATCTGCAAGTTTTGATTCCCAGGATCCACTATCTCCTAAAAACATGACCTTCTACCTGTCTTACTGAATTGTTACTGTATTATTTTTATGTATATTTAAATTCACTCTCAACTGAAGATTTGGGTTCTTGTACTTATATCTTCCTAGAAGCTGAAATATTCAGACTCCTAAGCTTTATTACTTTTGTGTAAATGTTCTGACAGCTACTCCATACTATGTTTATATTATCAGAGGCCAAGCCCTGTAAAATATCCTCAAGGTTACAAAATAGAGGACAGATCTCATGTTCTGAGACTGGTAGTAAAATTTTTGATGGTCCATTGCTCACATAAAAATAGACATACATGTATTTTCTGCATTTTTTACCATTAAAATAAGGGAATATTGGGTGTGTTATTAAAAATGCTCAGAGAAATATATACTCTATGATCCTATTTACTTTAGTTGGATAAACACCTCAAATCATATAGAAGTAAAATGCTGCCTGATTTTGTCTGAATGCTACAACTTTTTTGAAGCCCTATTCACTTATATTCTACTTTTGAATCTTGACACTTGCTTATTTAACTTGGTTAAAAATGAATAAATATTTCACACATGTGTAAATACCGAATAGTGTCCCTGGTGTGAATAATCTGCAACAATGCATAAGATTCTAATAAGATTACTGACATTTAGAAATGGGAAGAAAGGAGCTAAAGGTGTAGGGAAGGTGGGATGGGTAGGGGAAGAGTAAAAAGGGAAAAGAAAAAAATGTGAGAGAATGAAAAGATGAAAATAAAGTGTTTGTAGATGGGGAGGGGAGGAGGGGGTGAAGGGAGGGCAGAGGTAAGGGGAAGAAATGAGAATCAAGACTTGCCATGTAGAGGTACATGATCCCAACAATGAATGTAACTGTACTGTATCCCTAAAATGTACCAATAAACTCAATTAAAGCTGAAAAAAAAATGAAGTTGAAAACTCACTCACTAATGGGCTAAAAGGATGATGTTTTATCAATTGACAAAAACCCATCCATTTTTGTTTCCTTTAGATCAGAGTGAGACTTTTTTTTCCCTAACTTGGCAAGGGCACTGCCCCCACCCCAGCCTGAAGCAGGCTTAAGAAGATAGAACTTCAGACCTCCACCTCTCTTAGGAGGATACATCAAAGACTGGGAAGGCTGAAATAAGATCTGATAGAAGAAATAAAGATAGGTAGGAGGAAGACAAGGAAAGTGATAATTTAGAAATTTTAGTTTTAAGAATATTGCAACTACAGGATACAAAGTTAACGGACAATTATGCATATCTGTATTCTTTAGGTTTCTTTATGGTTATTGTGTTAAGATATATGTAACCAAAGGTACCGTTTTAACCATTTTAGGTGCACAGCTTGGTGACATTAACTATAATTTTGTTTTGGTACACCCATCATACTTATCAGTCTCAAAAAATTTTACCATCCCAATGAATTTTACACGAAGGAAGAACCCTTAATTCCAACATTTCCCAACCAGTCATGATTCTTCTGCTGTGAAACATGATAAATTGAATACATCACATTTCTCAAATGTAGCCAAGGAGTTAGCATTTGCAGATGAGTTTTGAGGGTTCCACTATACCGCATTCTCCAAACTACATTCCAAATAGATACGGAATGTCCTGGGATTAGACTCTTCAACCGCGGAGCCTCTTTAGGGTGTTAAGAATGTCCCTGTTCCTCAGGCTGTAGATGAAGGGATTCAGCATCGGGTTGACCACAGCGTACATCAGGGAGGCCACCATGCCCTTCCTGGGAGAATGTGATGGATTTGAACCAAGATACGTTCCAATACCTGTTCCGTAAAATAAGCAAACAACTGACAGATGAGAACCACAGGTAGAAAAGGCTTTGTACCTCCCCCCAGATGATGGGATTTTCAGAAGGGCAGAAACAATTTTATAGTAGGAGAAAATGATCCCGGACATGGGAAAAAAACCAAATAGGATGCCAATTGTGTACGTGACTATGTTTTTGATTAGGGTATCAGAACATGAAAGGTCAAGGAGTCGAGAAGGGTCACAAAAGAAACTAGCAATTTGCATATTCTTGAAACAGGTAACATTTAAGACAATTAAATTGTTCACCTGGGAATCCAGAAGGCCAGAAAAGACAGAGAACGAAACTAACAAGACACAGCGTGGAGGGTTCATAATGGTTGAGTAATGCAGCGGGTGGCAGATGGCCACAAAGCGGTCGTAGGCCATCACAGTCAGTAGCAAGTCATCCATACATCCAAAAAAGAGAAACAGAGACAACTGTGTCAGGCAGCCCACAAAGGAGATGACTCTACTGTGAGTCAAGATGTCTACAATCAACTTTGGGACTGTAGAGGAGGTGAAAGAGATGTCAGCCAAGGAGGGGTTGGAGAGGAAGAAGTACATGGGGGTGTGGAGGTGGGAGTCAGAGCTGACGGCCAGGATGATGAGCAGGTTCCCAAGCACTGTGACCAGGTACATGAATAGGAACAGTCCGAAGAGGACGGGCTGCAGGTCTGGGTCCTCTGAGAAGCCCAGGAGATGGAATTCTGAGACTCTTGTCAGATTATGTGCTCTCATAGTGCTTGAACACCTTTTCAAAAAGAAAAATTCATTGGAAAAATGAAACCAAAACTAGCGCACAAAACTCAGTATATTTTAGGAATCCAAGTATTCACAAGCAAAGTGGTACTGCATGAGGTCCAAAACCTTTAGGAGCATTGTTCTATAGGGACAAACCCCACCATCAAGGACTCGGTGTTGGGTGGTTCATTTTCCACTTCCTCCTTACAGATACTGCACTGCTCAGTGTAAGCAGACCAAGGACACAGAGTTCAGAAGTCCTTGATCACAGTAAAATACCACTGACACTGTTTTTTACAAAGAAAGTATAGAGAATGGTTAAGATGTCCTGATTTGAGCAGATATGATTTTTTTTTTTTTTTTTGGTACCAGGGATCGAACTCGGGTCCTTGCACTTGTGAGGCAGGCCCCCGAACCGCTGAGCTAAATCCCCGGCCCAAGCAGATACGATTTTATAGGAAGAACATTTTGATACATTCAACTATTTCCTCTTTTATATTCAGAATACGGTGCACACTCCTTTGCCTTAGAGTGCCTACAAATACTATAAAATCTAGGACTGCACTGATTGATAATTGAATCTAAATTAATTATTTTCAAACAACTCACTCTGTCGGCACTTTTTAGGTACACATCGTGATCGCATTCATCACTGGGAACTTGATATGTTTGAATTCTTGCTTTTTCCCACCCACTCCTTCCCTTTCTCAACCTCCACCCCTACCGTATTTGCAAAATATTTTTCTGTTTTCTTCCTCCATTTATCATATTTTTAATCATTCCCTTTTCAGAGCACTTTGTTCAGCAACTGACCTCGGAGAAATTTTTATCATTTTGGGTTTTCCTATTTTCGTCTTTCAATTGTGTAAGAATCTCTTCGTCTTTGTTTGTATATAAACTATTAGAGGAACTTGAGTTTGCCAGTTTACTTGGTGAATTTGAGCTCAACTTCTCTTTGGCGAATTCAAATTTGTATACAGAAAGTTTAAATATGTGCATGTAATTTTAAGACACGTCGACCACAAAACGTAGCATTAGTGCACACTGCACTTGTTGATAATTAAAAATAACAAATCATAAGATGCACCTTTGACATTTCAAATTTTACACAGGTTAATTATATAATACAATATCACTAGCATATCTGCTATGTAAATATCTCTCCATTAATGTATTCTTCAGCATCTTGGAAATGTTCTTTTCTTTGATCATACACCCTCTTGTATGTAGGTGAAGGGACAAGAAACAAAGTCACCAGGTCCTGGCTGTGTTTAGCCAGGAAAGGTTCTAACCTACAGACTTTCTCAACAATCTTTCTTCCTACATAAATTATATTTCTCTTATTTCAGCTATGCAAAGGCAACTGGGACACATTTTTTGGTCAGGCCACACTGTTGTTTAATTGGAAATAACACATTAAACAGATACTATATAAAATAATGTAAACATACTGTAAAATAGCTACAATAGAAAAGTTTACATTGTTTTATAAACACAGCTGTAAAATGGGGAGCAGAATTAACTGCTTATATGACTGCACTATGAACATAATTTAAAAAAATTATTTAATGTGCATCACTGTTGGTTCTAGTTTAGTAACACAGTTATCTGGGGGTATTTAAATACATACAGATACTCTAGACTTAGGCCAGAAAATTTCATCAACATATTTACATTTCAAGACTTCATGTTATTTTCTTCAGCAAGATTTGAAAACCACTCTTATAGAATACTTCGTGGAATTCTGAAAACACCCAATTAGTATTATCTTCATTTCTTAAATATCTGAACAATTACCTAAGCAAGTTAAATATGTCTTCCTAATTTCATCCTGCTGCTTTCTTGTTTGCAAATTAGTCTCTTATGAATTTTCTGGGTAGATTTTCCTGTCAGTGTTTCCAGGTCAGTGTTAATTTATGAATCCACAAGCAGTTTTCTAAAAATATTATTGTAAAAGTATCAAATTAATGTAAGAAGGAAAATACATTTGTCCCCAAAATACATTAGATTGCAACCAGAAGTGATTTTAAATCTTCTTTAATGAAAACACAGCATTATTTGAGAGAGACCTTATTTAACTTGTAAATTTATTATTACAACAATCTTTTCTAAATTTTTGTGCCTTGCTCCTTGTCACTCAAGTAAAATTTTGTATGTAAAATATTGGTGGAGGTTATATTTCTGATTTCCAGAAAATAATACTGATAAAATTTCATGATTTTTTTTCTAATAAATGCCAGTCACTTAGATCTCTTTATTCTACTGAAATACCTTCAAAGTGTCCATGCAGTCTGTCCAGTGATGAGCTCTGCTGGTAACATAAAAAGAGATTCATACTCTTAAGGTGAATAACATCATCATCTTACTCCAGTGGCACAGAGGAGCTTGTGCCAAGGGAAGGTGCTGAGGAAATGAATACTTAGTCCCGTGTCACTGACCTGCGTGTGACAATAGGCAGACTGTGTGTGAATCTCTCCTCTTCTCTGGGGTCACACTGCTTGGGAAAAATAAGAATGGCATTTCTCTCCGCATAGGTGGCAACACAAGCAAGTTTGGAAATTTTTTGCCCTTTGTGAGGATTTGTTTTGAAAATAAAAAACTGTAGCTTAAGCAAGTAGGTAGTGTACTGATGAATATAATCTGTATTCAAACAGTAATGGTGTCTGGACTGATATGAAGTTCTATACCACATCTCAGCCTGAGGCACACCTTCACCTGATCCCTACTCTTTGGACTTTTTTAAACCCATGGATAACTCTGCTCTGTTTTTCAGTATTGATATAGATGCAATTAAATGGATCGCAGGGGCCATGTTCCCATGACACGGATAAAAACTAGCTCTTTTGTTCTACGACTCAGGGCATTTGTGAAAGGAGTGAACAGGCAGATGAAAACACACCAGGCATCTCCACATCAGGCTGATTAAGGACAGTTATTGTGATGTAGGGAAAGGTCCTTTCAATGTGTAATAGAGGTTTTAATTTTTGATGCATCTTTTACGCCAAATAGTGTGTAGGCTCTGGGGAAACAGATGTAAATGAAGGCACATCATCTGTCTCCAAATATATTCATATATTTACACAAACACAAAAATAAAATGTCTTGCAACAAAAATAGAAAAATAATATCAGGTCAAAGGACATGATCAGTACAAAGATTATTTGAATCACTAATAACAGTGATGGCTATGCTTTCTTTCGCTCTAATTTTACAAACATTAATCCCAAATAGAGCCCTCCTTCTCTGTCTCAGAGAATGCGGTCTCAGAGATATCACGTGCCTGCCCCGAATCCCAGTGAAAAGAAGTGGAGCTAAAAGGATTATCAAATAAATGGAAAGATCTTGTCCGATGCACTGTAGTTTTCATTGTTTCCAACCCCACAGAAAGATACAGACAGAGGAACAAATTCCATAAACTCAGGTGCATCTGAGATAATTCTGAACACAATTCAAGGCAAGACAAGCCCATGTGAGACTGTGTGAGATAACAGCAATCATGGGAAGGGTGGGAGGAGCTGCAGAAACACCCAGCAGTGGCGTCAGGAGGGAAATCTGTGCTGAATGGTGGAGGGGCTGCTCTCGGAGATCTTGGCCTGTGGTCTGCTTCTGTCTATGGTGGATGCAGCTAGGGACATTCACTCCTGTCCTCTGTGAGCTTTGAAGAACCCCCAAAACTAATAGAAAGTGAATAAGGATTCTCGTTCTGAAGTGGCAAAAGAGGTAAATATTTTCCTGTGTTAGGAGGACAATCTGCCAGAATTTCTCTACGATGCCCTTTGTCTCTAACCAGACAGCCCGATTCACTAGACTCATCTCTTCACCTATTGACTTACTGTAAGATCCATTAAAATGATGGACTCTGCTATTTTCTATAAGAAATAACAGTGGGCACTTATACCTTCTAGAATACAAACCACATGAAATAAAGTATGCTACATAAAGGAAGTATCACAATGCCTAAGAAATAGGAAGCCCTCAAAACAGGTTCATGATGCTATGGTTACTGTCTCCCCCTCCCACATTCTTATAATCACCTTCCTAATCCTTGTGGAGTACTTAGCAATTGCTGAAAAAGACACATTTTCTCCTGCTGTTGGGTGAGACATCCTTGAGAAGTGGAAACAGGATGTGTAGAAAACAAATTTGAAATAATAATTCTGCTTTTCCTCCTAAAACAGAAAACACAAAATTTCCATTCCTCATAACTGATACTTTTCATACTTGTACCTTCCCACTGGGCACCCAAACTGTCATGTTTGTCCTCATGGTAAAGAAACAATGCTTGCAAGGATCCTTTCATATCCATCAGGTCCATCTGCACTTTCTAGGTGATATTGTTTCCCTTCTGGGTCATAGTCAAGGAGAGCAGACACAATGGCCCTCCTATGTCTGCAGCCCAATGAATCCTCAGTCTCTGTCCTTAGGACCTAAATTAATACAAATTTAAATGGAAGGCTCCTGATGCAGACACCTCTTGGCTATGACATGGGTATGGAGGTCACTGGACTGGAGTCATCAAAGTAATGAGGTGGAGATGTAAGGTGATTATCGACTATTTTATGACTGGAGACTCAATGCTCACAGCTTATAATTAGCCAGATTGGTCCACACCATCCAAATCTCTAAGGGTTTTATAGCATTAATGTAGGGAGAGAAAAAGAAAACAAACATCCACAAGAGATTTGGGGATTGGGATCTTCTCTGCTAAATTTTGTTGCCCAGAATTGCTTTTTTTTATTCAAGGCCTTTTCTGGTTCCAAATGAATTTAATTTATTTATTTTTCTCATTGAGTTTATTGGTACATTTTAGGTATACAGTACAGTTACATTCATCATTGGGATCTTGTACCTTTACATGACAGGCCTTGGTCCTCATTTTCCCCCTTACCCCTGCCTTTCCTTCACCCCCCTCCTCCCTTCCTTATTTGCAAATAATTTATTTCCATTTTTTCAATTTCTCATATTTTTTTCTTTTCCCTTATTTCCTTTCCCCTACCTTTCCCACTTTCCGTATACCTTTAGCCTTTTTCTATTTCACATTATCAATTATACCATTAGTATCTTATGTATAATTACAGTTTTTCACACCAGAGAAACTATTTAGTATTTACATGTGTGACATTTATTTCACTTAAGAGTGTATCCTCAATGTGCATCCATTTTCCTATGAATGACTCTAATTTCTCATTCTTTTTTTTTTTTTTTTTGGTACTGGGGATTGAACTCGGGACCTTGTGCTTGTGAGGCAGGCAGTGGAACCACTGAGCTACATCCCTGGCCCCTAATTTCTCATTCTTAATGGCTAACTAGCATTACATTTTATAGAAAAACCAAATAACAGACTCACTGGGAGAGAAATTAGGGAAACAATTCCTTAATTCCTTTTACATTAGCATCCAAATGAATTTTAGATATATTTTCTCCAGCCCTATGATGTGTGCTATTGGTATTTTAATTGGGATTAAATTTGCATACAATTTTGAGAGTGTTTCTATTTTCACTATGTTGGTTCTTCCTACCGAAGAGCAAGCGACATCTGTCCATTTACTGATATTCATTCTATCTCTTTTTTCAGAGTTGTATAGTTTTCAAAGTAAATATCTTTAACTTCCTTTGTTAGAAGGAAGAATTTAATAATTAAACATCATACCCCCGTGTACAGGCACAAATTCCATATGATGAATGTGATCATTGTGTATAGTTTTATTTTACAAATAAAACAAACTCATGATATAGAAATTAGTAGCTGCTAAAAAACCTGATAGTACAATTTAAAAATAAGAAAACTGATCATTAGACATTGTTTAAAATGACTAGTAGTAAAGAAAAAAGCCCAATATTGTGATCCATCAGGAAGTGCAAATCAAAACCTATATGAGATAATTGAGATAATATTTCACACCCGCTAGAAAGGCCGTTGCCGAAGGTGGAGGACAATTGTTGATGAGGATATAGAGAAAAGAAAGCCTTGCATGATTTGCTCCTGAGCATAAGTTAGCATGACCAATACAGATAAGAAAAGGGAACCAGATGACCACGTATTATTAAGTAGCCTCCATCGCTTGATACATGCAGATAATAAATAATCCACATTGGACCCTGTTAACCCAAGTTTAAGGACCTCTGAAATGTAATGGAAGTTGATGAAAAATGACCAAATGAATGTCCACAAAAGAAAAGGGGCTCTGCTTCTACTCAAAAAGAAACTCAAGTGTACTTTTCACTTTGTTGATGTTTTCCTTGTACGAAATATTCTGAGCCTGGCATGGTGGAGAACACCTGTCATCTTAGTATTCAGGAGTGGGCACAGGAATCACTTTGAGCTAATGATCAACCTGGGCTACCTAGGGATTCAAAGCCAGCCTGAAATAAGTAGTGAGCCATGGTCTTAAAAAAACACACACACACACACACACACACAACTTTTTATTTCCATTGTTTATAGTGAGACATACATAAATACATGTAATTTTAACCACAGTTTAGTAATATTAGTTATATTATCATTTTTGTACAACCAAAGATGTTACCCATCTTTCATCTCCTCCACTGAAAATTTTCAGCCTTATGTATAAAACCTAAATTCCATCAATCCCCAATCAGCCATGATTCCCACATGAATCACAAAAAGAAATTGCAGGCACCAATCTTCTGAGATCTTATGAGAAATAAGACAGTGTTCACAGGTGAGTCAGGGGTTTTCAGTTTCACTTTCATATTCAAAAAAAGCATCCTAAATGGATGCCAAACAATCTGAGATTAAACTCTACAGTGGTGGAGCCTCTTCAGGGTGCTAGTGATGTCTCTGTTCCTCAGGCTGTAGATGAAGGGATTCAGCATCGGGGTGACCACACTGTACATCAGTGAGGCCACCATGCCCTTCCTGGGAGAATACGACACAGCTGAGGCAAGGTACACTCCAACACCACTTCCATAAAATAAGCAAACAACTGACAGGTGAGAACTACAGGTTGAGAAGGCTTTGTACCTCCCAACCGATGATGGTATTTTTAGAACAGTGGAAACAATTTTACAGTAAGAAAAAAGGATCCCTAACATGGGAAAAAAGCCTAATATGGCCCCAACCAAATATGTGACCAGGTTTTTGATCAAAGTATCAGAACATGAAAGGCTAAATAACTGACTAGGATGGCAGAAGAAATTAGCAATTTCCACATCCCTGAAGCAGGTGAATTGCAAGGCAACTAAATTGTGCAGCTGAGAGTCCAAAAGGCTAATAAAGACACACACCAAAAGTAGGAAGACGCAGAGGAGAGGATTCATAATGACTACATAGTGCAGGGGGTGGCAGATGGCCAGAAACCGGTCATAGGCCATCACAGTCAGAAGCATGTCATCCATACATCCAAACAATGAAAAAAAAGACATCTGTGTCAGGCAGCCCACGTAGGAGATAACTCTGTTGTGAGTTGAGATGTCCACAATCATCTTTGGGATCATGGTAGAGGTGAAAAAGATGTCAGCCAAGGACAGGTTGGAGAGGAAGAAGTACATGGGGGTGTGGAGGTGGGAGTCAGAGCTGACGGCCAGGATGATGAGCAGGTTCCCGAGCACCGTGACCAGGTACATGGACAGGAACAGTCCAAAGAGGACGGGCTGCAGGTCTGGGTCCTCTGAGAAGCCCAGGAGATGGAATTCTAAGATGTAGGTTAGATTATGTGTTTCCATAGTGCCTGAACACCTTTTCAAAAAATTTGTTAGAAAAATGAAATTAATAAATAGCACACAGTACTCTGTTATAAATTCAGGAATGTACAAGCAAATGTATTCCCATGTGAAGTCTATACACCTTACAACATAGTGGTCCACTGTGATAAATCCCATTCTGAGGAGCCCTTTCCTTCTAGGGTTGTTTGTTACCCATCTCCTTCTGTGCTCTCTCACTTTAGAGACACTCTAGCGGCCAGGTTAGAACATTCGAGTACAGAACTCTGTGACCCCAGTAAAATATGCCATAGTCTTATTAAAAATAGGAGCATATGATGTTATCGGAAGAAAACTAATGCACTTTTAAATATACCTTATTTTATTTTCTGTATTCTTTTTTTTCCACATTGAATTTATTGGTACATTTTAGGTATACTGTACAATTACATTCATTATTGGGATCTTGTACCTTTACATGACAGGTCTTGGTTCTCATTTTTTCCCCTTGTCCCTGCCCTCCCTTCACCCCCTTCTCCCTTCCCCATTTACAAACATTTTATTTCCATTTTTTCATTTTCTCCTATTTTTTCTTTTTCCCTTATTACCTTTCCCCTACCCTTCCCAGTTTCCCTGCACCTTTAGCCCTTTTCTTCCTATTTCACATTGTCAATTATCTCATTAGAATCTTATGTATTATTATAGTTTTTCATAGCAGAGAAACTGTTCAGTATTTACACATGTGTGACTTATTTATTTCACTTAGGAATATATCCTCAATATATATCCATTTTCCTATGAATGAATCTAATTTCTCATTCTTTATGGCTGAGTAGTATTCCATTTTATAGGAAAAAAAAAGATTTTTTTTCCTGATACCAAGGATCAAACTTGGCTCTTTGCAGTTGCAAGGCAAGGAGTGGAACCACTGAGCTAAATCCCCTGCTATTTTCTGAAAACTGTACAATTTCTTCCCACCTAGAATGGGTGCAATCAGTATAACATCTAGAAATGCATTATTGGAATATTCAATTCTAGTTACTAGGTCATAATCAAAATGTACACCACTGAGCCAGTCATCTCCCAGGAAATTTCAACATTTGTTGGTTTTCTTATTTCTGTCTTTCAAGGATGTAAGAGCTCACTCAGCCTTTGTTAGGTACAACTCATTTAATATGTAACTCCTTGCTCTCCTATGGTGAATGTAAATTTGTACAACACAGGTCCTAATCTATACACATAATCTTAGGATATAGTAACTATGGATGTGGCATTAGTGCATACCATACCTGTCAATGATTCAAATAATAAATTATAAGAAGCACATCTGTCCTTCTAAATTTTTTACAGGTTTACTCACTCTACAAAATTAACTAAAATAGCTCATACATAGGATACCTCGGGCTCTTTTAAAAATATTGTGTGTTCTATGGTAGCAAGTTGATATGCTTCATTTTTTTCCCTGATACTAAATCCAGGGGGAAACATTAGAAATTAGGAAAAACCTCAAAGCCCAGACTGATTCTCAGCCTTGCTAATTCTGATTTACAGATTTTTCATGTTAGTCTTTCTTGATATATTATTCGTATTTCTCTTATTTAGCTACCTGAAGGAAACTGGGACACTTTGGTCAGAGCACACTTCAATTTGGGAAGGTGTAAAAGAAGCACACAGAATTATGTTACACACCTAAAAACTCAGGTACAAAAGAAAATTATATTAAAAATGTAAATGTACCTGTTAAGCAGAGTAAACTTATGATAACCATAAAATTATGATAGCATTCATGTACCTTATATGGTTGTTAAATGAAAGTTTTGAAAATATGCAATTTATATCACTCATGATCCATAGATAGGCGACAGAGAGATGGGTAGACATTTCTAAATATCCAGACACATTAGCCTCAGAGTTGGGCATCTTTCCCTGTGATACAAGTGAAAATCTTTATTAAAATATTGGCTGGAGACAGTTTTCTGGCTTCCAACAAATAACATATGTAAAATTTTGCACTTAATAAAACCAGTCATTATCATTTACATGCGCTTCTTTTTGAGAAATATCTTCAGAATATGCCTGCAGTCTGTCCAGAAATGATCTCGCTGAGATAAGACAAAAAGTAACGTCATTATTCTGAATGCTTTGGTCTAGGCGGGGAGACTGCTTCCCAGGAGGGGACTAGGGAAATGAGCACTCAGTCCCGCTTCTCTGACTCGCTGCTGTACACAGACTGTGTGTGACTGTTTCCTCCTCTCTGTGATTACACGGCTTAAGGAAAATAAAAGAGCATCACCGATCTCCACATGTGTAGCAACTAAAGAATGCTTCGAAATCAGGTGTGTAGTCACTACGGGTATTCGTTTTTAAAAGAAGGAGCTCCTTCCTTATCCAAGGAGAAAGCTACTGATAAACACAGTCAACTGTATTCAAATGGTGCTAGAACGTGGAATGATGTGAAACTCTGTAAGCCTCTCAGCATGAGGCGTACATTCACCTGTTTCCTTTTCTATGTGCCCTTTTCCAAATCCACATGTATCTCTGCTGTGTCTTTCAGTCATGGACGAAGATGCAAATAAATGGGTCCCTGGGTCCCCGCACCCATGGCATAAACACAAACAACAGCTCTTTTTATAGTCCCTTATCTATGGGATATTCGAGGAAGGAACAGACATGCACAGGAACTTAGCAAACACGTTGAGGAAGGACACTTACATGATTAAGGAAGAACCCTGTTAAACAGAATGAACTTTAAAAAAAAATTTCTGATGCCCCCTCTGTTATAGGCTCTGCAGAAACAGAAGTAAGGACAGTGTATCATTGGTTTCCAAATATAGTCATATAATTACACAAAGACACACAAAGACAAAAATAAAATGGGTTGCCACAGAAACAGGAAAAGAGTGACCACAAGTCACAGGATATAGTTAGCATGCAGGTTATCTTTATCAACTAAATTTTATTCTTCTCTAATGTTACTCGCATTAGACCTACATGCAACCCTCCTCTTAGGTATCATCTACAGCACAGATGTTTTAAAGAGAAATCAACACTACACTCAGCGCTGCCTCAAAGATATAAACAACCTGCCCCTCGTCAAGAAATAGTAAGTGGAGCTAGAAGGATCACAAGTTAAATTCACAGATGCTGTCAAATGTGCTGAAATTTTACACTGATTGCCAACTCACAGAAAAATGTAAGCAGAGGCTCAGAAGTCTTAACCATAGGTGCATTTCCGGTACATTTCAACTCCTTCATTTCCTAAATGGAAATGCAGTTAAGACTTGACATATTACCATCTGAGACTGTGTGAAATAATTTCAGGTACAGGGAAGGATATGGGAAGCTTCACAAACATCTTCCAGTGCAGTAGCCGAGAAATCTGTGCTGAATTACACTCAGAGAGAATATTAGTTCGTTGGTAGGACAATCTTTTGAAAATACTTGTGCTTCTGTCTCTATCATACGTGTGAAAAATCTATGTAAAACACTGATGGGAGATGATTCTCTGATTCCCAACAGTTATATATGTAAAATTGTACATCTCGTGAGTGTAGATGTCTTTTATTCATTAAGTTTATTTTTACATCTCAGGTATACAATACGATAGCACTCATCAATGGGAACTTGCACGTTTACATGATGTATCTGGCTTCTCATTTTATTCCCATTCCCTTGCCGTCCCTTTAACTGCTCCACGCCTCTCTATTTACAAAGACTTTGTTTCCTTTTTTTCTCTTTTTCTCATATTTATTAATTTCCCTTCTTTCCTTTCCCCTGATCCTCTCAATTCCCCTTCCCCTTGAACCTTTTCTTCCTATTTTGCAACATCTACTACGCAAAGTTTCTCACACCAGAGAAACTATTTGGAATTTGCACTTGTGTGCCCTACCTAGTTCACGTATGATTACGCCCTCGATGTGCATCTATTTAGCTATAAATGTCTCTAGTATCTCATTCTTTATGGTTGAGTAATACTTTATTTTATTTTTTTAAAAAAGCCACATCTTCTTTACCCAGTCTCCATTTGATGGGCAATTGGTCTGTTTACAAGTTTGGCTATTACAAACGGTGAGTGCGCATTCTTTCTGGAATGCTTGGCTGAGACCCATAACTGTCTTTCCCATGGTGGATGCAGCTGGTACGTCCCGCTGCTGTGTTCTGCAATCTCTCAGGACCCTGCAAAAGACTGCAGAGGTGAACCCTGACTCCCTTCCTCCAGTGACCGGAAACTGAAGTGGCTGCTTGTGTTATCAAGGGGGTAACTGGCAGTACTGATCCTCATGGGATGCCCTGTGTCTGCAGTCAGATCAGTTTCAGTGTGGCTTTAACACTTTTATACCTGACAACCTGCTGTGGATTACATTAAAAACAGCAGCTCCACTTTCCTTACCGAATAAGAATGTTAGCACTCAGGACGACATGAAGACGAAACCAAGGAGATGACATGCGCTGAGCACAATGTATAGAACGTGTTGCTCAGCGCCTGGAGTCCGGGGAGCCCTCAGGATCCGTTCGAGATGCCAAGCTCGCTGTCCTCCCCTCTCGGTCCTCAACCATCACCCTCGCTGTCCTTTCCCAGTGCCTAGGAAACACTGCAGAAGCCCTCATTCTCTTCTGCTATGGTGAGACCACCATGGGAAACGGACACAGGGTGGGCAGAAACAAAATTCACATGATCATTCTGCTTTCCCGCTACACCCCAAAACACACAATTTGTATTTCTCATAACTGATATGTTTCCTATTCATACCCTTCATCTGTCTATCCAAATGTCATTTTGTCTTTATGAAAAGGAAACTCTTTTCAAGGATCTTTCCTCATTCCACGAGGTCCCTCTGCACTTACTGGGTGATGCTGTTTCCCTGGCAGTCATAGCCAGGATGAAAACAACAAAAGATCCTCCTATGTCTGCTGCCCGGTGAAGGCTGAGGCTCTGATCTCAGTATTCAATTGACACAGACAGACCGAAGCCTCCTGTGCAGGCCACCATGGGAGCTTGGACACAGGTACGGGACTCACTGGACTGCAGTCACCACACCGAAGGGTCGGAGGCACAAGCTGACTGCTGACGAGTATATGACTGTGGAGGCTCAATACACAGAGTCCATAATTAGCCAAATTGGTCCCTGAAGTCCCAACCTCTAAGGGCTTCCCAAGACCAAAGGCAAACAGAGAGAAAATGAAAACAAATGTCCAAAAGAGGGTTTAGGCTTTTTCTGTATTCAAATAAAACTAGTGTGATCTAATCACTTCTCTCATTGATGTGTAATTTTAAATGTCCATCTGCTTTATTTCTTTCTTGGAGAAAAAGAAATAAAACAAAAAAAAACTTACAATTTTATCCATAATAAGTACACACCTCATGACTTCAATTAGATTCACATTGCTGTAAAATACTCAGCATATTACATATTCAGGATCTTATCACTTTCCAAAATGAACATTTACAATCAATTTAAAAATTCCCCATACATACCACCAGTATTATACTATGAAAAATTATAAGAAACTAGAGCTATGGAAGTTCACTAACATGACCAAGTGAGGCAATCTTATAAGTCTAGCTGTTATGTTGTTTGACTTTTCTCCACTATATTGAAACAGCTATCACAGCCCCTGAGATTAGAATATTCTGATGTGGCCTAACCCCAGGGTACTTAAAATGTCTCCGTCCTTCAGCCTGTAGAGAAAGGGATTCAGCACAAGACAGAACATGGTGTACATCATTGTGGCTACTGAATTGTTTCTACGGTTGAGTCAATATATATTCAACCACCTGTTCCATAAAATAAGCAAACTCCTGACAATTTGGCTCCATAAGACAAGAAAATGATGATGGAACTTTCAGATGGAGAAGAATATTTTGTAGTAAGATTAAAAAGCTCTGTAAGATTAGGGGTAAAGAATATGATGCCCTCTATATATTCACTACATTACTGGGGAAGTTGTTCACATCGGCAGGGAGGTGGGCAGGGTTACATAAGAAATCATGAATTTTCACACCTTTGAAGGAGATAAACCATAAAACAGTAAAATTATGCCGATGGGAGTGTGAAAGGCTAATCAAAAATAAAAACCTAAACTAAGGGCCCACAGAGGAAGGGTTTGTGAAGGGTGATTTAACAGGTCATGAGTAACTACAATCTGATTATCAGCCATCACAGGCAGACACACATCATCGAAGCTTTCAGAAGCGAGAAAAGCAGACCTCTGTGTCACGTAGCCTACATAGGCTCTGACCCTCCTGTGAGCTTCGGTGTCCACAGTCCACCCGGGAGGACCCTGCGGGACACAAAATAGACATCATCCAAGGAAAAGTGGAGAGGACAGGAGGGTGTGGAGGTGGGAGTCAGAGTCGACCGCCAGGATGGTGAGATGGTTTCTGAGCACAATGAGCAAGTACGAGGAATAATCTATAGAGGAAGAGCTGCAGTTTTATATATTTTAAAACTCCTACAAGATACAGTTCTGGCAGATGTTACATTTTGCTTCCATATTCTTGGATATATTTTTAAAAATAAGGGTCGGGGATTTAGCTCAATGGTTCTGCCGCCTGCCTCGCAAGTGCAAGCTCCCAGGTTTGATCTCCAATACCAAAAATGAAATGAAATGAAATGAAATAAAATACAATTAGAAAAGACAAACAAGTGAATAGGCATCGAGTAGTCTGTATATATTCTGAATGAAGTACTCACTAGCAAAATATACTCATTTGATGTCCATACACCTTCAGCAGTCTTTCAGTTGTGACAAATGTCATCTTTCAGTCCCAGTTTCTAGTTGATCATAAACTTCTATACACACCTAATAGAGACATTTGCCTGAACAATCACAAGC